AACCACCTGCTGCTCCACAGTGACTTTTCACCCGCTGCACAACCAGAAAAAAAACCATCTCCCCCTTGGCAGCCGTGACTCCGCCCCAGCCCGCCGACAGCCAGAGAGACAAACCGCCTGCGTAGAGTTAAACTGAAGATGCAAATATTTATCTTATTTATACTGCCAGAGGGTTTATGATTTCCATATTTGTATATTTTTCCTCGACAGTTTGTCAATTATATGATAAAACAAAGCTCCATAGGTTTCCAATATTACTGTACTGCTAATTTTATTTTTATATGGAGGCAAATATATAACTGTATTTATATAGCTGAGGCCACTTTGAATCCCAGCTAAGTAGAGTTTTGCACCATAGACACAAATAAATGTCTGCACTTTTTTATATAAGACTTACAACGGCAGCATTTTAATGTCATTTCCAAATGAGGGAAGTCTACTGACTGAATGCTGAAAGTTGTTTCTACAGGCTCAGAAAAACCAGCTCCCCGAAGGGCTCGCTGCGAAGGGGTCGAATCCGAGAGTCACGGCTGTTAAAGTCATCGTCATTCTCCGTGCGAAACGCTCACAAAATGTGCTTAAACTACTAATCGTTTGTGTCGGTGTCACTCACGTGTTCTAATATTTCCGCCGCACCATGCACCATTTCATCCCCACGAGTGGGCAAGCTAGAATAAAAAAAAAAAAGGACCTGTTAGAGTATCTTATCGGTGATTGTTGTGAATCCAATGAACTTTTTGGTGTCGTTATAACCCCACTTCTATTCATTATATGTGCTATAAGAATAAATGTTTATTGGGCCCCGTCTGAGGATTGGACACGAGTGCCTGTGTGTATTTGTGGCTGAGCGTCGGTGTGTTGGTGTGATGGTCTAAAGCTTTCGATGTCCCAAAGCCCTGTGGAGACTGCATGCTTTGCTTCAAACAGAGGAGTGTGATGTTTTTCCTTATTTTCTTCTCTTTTTTTTTTTTACATCAATATAGGTTTTGTGATCAACTCAGTAAAATGATGAACTCATTAAATCATCATTTGTGGTGAAATAAAGCCCGTCTGTCTTTCTTAAAGAGCAAGAAGCAGGGTGTCTAAACGTAAAAAAAACAGGAAGTGGACTATCAGCCCCTTTTCAAGAAGTGAAAATACGAAATGACCAGAGCTTTGGTCAGTGGGTTTCGCTCCGCTGCAGCTATTCATTTAAACCAGTGCAGGCAGCTGGGTTTTTTTTTTAATAATATGGAAGAATTACAGCTGCTACCATCATGTTCTGAGCTCCAGATGTCGAAAGCGAGAGTCAGAGGGAAGACAGAAAAATCCAATTTAGTCTACCAAGAGAATCAATCGAAAAATGATACAGAGGAAGTCTAAAGGTGTCTCTCGAAAAAAGAGAGAAGAGAGAGTTCTGCTATTTCAGGGCTGAACAGGCCGCGACAGGCCATGAGAAACGAGGAACAGAGAAATCCATTCGCGGGGTAATTATTTCTGACATGGTGGGTTCAAACTGGACTTCCCAATGACCTGGCAAAATTAACTCCATATACTTCTTTCTGAAGAGTCATCAGAAACAGAGTCATTTTGACCTGAGGAGCACACTGTAAAAACTATTTTTGAGTCACATTAAGGTTGAAATCATCTATTTCAGACAGAATATTGCTTTATTTTTAACGTAGTTCCTTGGAAACCATGGTGTTCTCCTCAAATATTGTTTAATCCCACCAACAATAATTTGGTTTAATGGCTTAAAAAGCAAGGGACATGTATGTATACAGCACAAAAATTGCTTCACATAAAAGATTAAATGTAAAAAGTGAAACATGGTCAAATCATTGATGAAATAAATTAAAAATGAAGCGTGCAGATAAAATGCTTCCAGCTGTCATTTCATAGCTAAACAAACTGATATCAGCCATGATTTAAACATTCAGAGTTTAGTTCTGTCTCTCCTCTTCAGGAAGACTGTTGCAGGTCGTAGGAGAAGAAAACCGAAATGAAGCCTCTCCTGGTTCGGTTCTGACTCTGGAGGAGACCAGCTGGAGACCAGAACCTGAGCTTCTCAGAGTCCAGCCGGTCCAGAGATGGACTTAAGACCATGAAGAGACTTGAACACAAGCAGAGCGGTTTGGAAGTCTGTTCTCCGATCCACAGGAGGCCAGAGCAGAGACCTAAAAGCTGGACTGATGCGGTCCTGGTTCCGGGCTCTAAACTGGACTGATACGGTCCTGGTTCCTGGTTCTGGTCAGACCTGAGAACTGGACTGATGTGGTCCTATTTCCGGGCTCTGGACCAGACTGATGTGGTCCTGTTTCCTGGTTCTAGTCAGACCTGGGAACTGAGCTGATGTGGAACAGTTTCCTGGTTCTGAACTGGACTGATATGGTCCTGTTTCCAGGTTCTGGTCAGACCTGAAAACTGGACTGATGTGGTCCTGTTTCCGAGGTAGGACTGATGTGGTCCAGGTTCCTGGTTCTGGTCAGACCTGGAGCAGCAGCGTTCTGGATGTTCTGCAGCTGGATCACAGCTGGTTCAGAGCCCAGTGAGAAACTGTTCCAGCAGCCTAACCTGACCAGTCTTTCTGGATCTGGTTCAGACTCCGTTCCTCTCATTCTGGATGTTTTTAGATGGTAAAAAGCTGCCGATGTTCCTGATTTAATGTGCCCGCTAAAGTCCATCAGTCTAAAGGCTCTTTGTTATTGTGGGTCATAAACAAAGATATCAGTTTTCTCTGAATTTACCTGGAGGAAATTATTCTGTAAATACCCTGTTCTAAGAAGATTTCTGCTCAAATCATGAAAATGTACCCCTAAATGAAGTTTGTCGTACCTCACAAGGAAACACTGAAATACTGCTTGAACTGAATCAAAAGAGGGCCCATAACCAAGAAACATTTTTCATATATAGTGCAACTATCCTTAAAAGTTCAAGCTTACCAGCCTTAATATGATTAAAAAAATGGAGGTTCAAAGCAGCCTTTAAAATGCATTAATACACCCTGTGAGTGCATCACAACACACACACACACACACACACACACACACACACACACACACAAAAACACACACACACACAGCTGTCATCAGTGAGTTTTATTTTAACTCTCTAATTAATCAAATTCGGTTAGTGCCATAGGTAGAATTTCCATAACGGCTCGTGCCAATGCGTCTTTCTGGTGGGGCTCCTCGCTCCCGCGTGGGTGGAAGTGTGAACGCGCGCACGTCTGCGATCTTAAAACGAACTGTTGTGCGCGTGCTCTGGAAGTTAAAGGCACACGCGACCCACTCGACCCGCGAATAGCTCCAGCCCGCACGCGCCCGCTGGGGGAGAAGGCGCGCGCGTGCAGCCGCCGTCGAAAGGTTTTCGGTGGCGTAATGTGGGAGAAACTTCCCCCTCGCTTTCTGGGTATATGTCTGCGCCTGCATGCGCGCGTGTACGTACGCGTGTGCGCGTGTGTCTGAGTGTGTGTGTGTTTGTTTCCAGCTCTCAGCAGGTTGGGTGGTTACATGAGAGCTTCCTGCTGCACCCCAGTCAAACTAATAAGCTCCAAACTGTCACTGCATATTTAAGAGGTATGTGGTCGTGTTTTGTGCTACACGCAATGGCGCCTTAGAGGGGAAACTGCCAAAAAAAGTGTGGCGTGTCGACCCGCCGTGGGCAGAAAAATGTAGCCCGTTAGCTGCGTCCATGCTAACTTTTCTAGTTGTGTTTGTCAATTTGCGCTAGCTTCTGATTTTAGCCCGGTTAGCGCAAGGGAGGGGGGGGGGCGCGAGCTCGGCTTCGGTTTTAGCATCGCTAGCTTATCTGCCAGTCGTCAACCTGCAGGTAAAACTTTCATTTGTGTGTCGGTACACAGCCAGGGTCGGTCTGCGTGAATAAATAATTGTTTTGCGAGCCTATATCCGTACGACAACCCGACGGCTAATGTCAACAGCTAACGCTAGCTAACCTCTGCAACCATTTTGCTGGGGTAAATGTTGGCTAATCAGTTGTCCGTGCGTCGGTCTAACTATTTTAGGCAGTTTCTAACCAAATGTCATCCACTAACAGCTCTCGCTACGGGTTTAATGGCCCCTTGTCAACAAGCTGAGACACTAAATGTCTTTCGCATTGCGTTACCGGCCACCCACTGTGCAGGGAAAGCCAAGTAAACTGACCCGAGGAGCCGCCGGACAGCGAGGAAAGCACGTGCTGTCATTTGTCCAAAACAGGTGTTCCCGATGATGCACGCGACTAATTCGATTATTAACCGGTAGCTACTCAGGCGTTAACCCCCCTGTCGCATCCTGTCACAGCTGTAACCGGTTAAAAGCAGTCAAATTTGCAGCCTGGCTCCGACAAAAAAAAAAAAAAAGCTGTGTTTTAGTCGTTTTGTTCTGATTTATGTTTTGTGGATACACTAAGGGCCTGCGGGGTGTGACCCGTGGTGGACAGTCAGTCAGAAGGTCCCTCTCCATGGAGCCGGTTTCCAATGCCTTCCCTGTTTTTTAAATAGTGATTAGAACTTGTAAGGCAAAGGTCGCTGTTCGGTAAAGTACCAGTTCTTTTCTTACAGCCAAACCATTGCTGGCATTTTGAGTAAAGGTGACTTGACTTATTCTCGCCACCTTTATGGATCACTAAGAATTTACTTTTTTGAACACAAAATCCTGCTCATAGGATGAAGCCCGTTAGCCTTTCTCTTTCTCGGCAGATCTGTGAACTTTTCATAGCTGAATGTGGATTCATGCTAATTTGGATTTATTCTAAGCTTTTCAACAGGGAGCTTGAAACCGGCGAGAGCAGCGTCCTGGCAGTGGCGTCCCACCGAACGACGGCGCCGGCTCCTCTCTCGCTCCGCCCGCATCGGGAAGTCTGACCGCCGGCAGTCGGACCCATGACGGCCTGACGGTCCCCCCGGCCCCGCTGTGGCCTATGCTCTGGACCCGTTTCCCTCCCTGTCCTCCTCGCCCCTCAAGCTGACGCAGAACCCCAGGCACCTGCCCCCTCTCCCCCACCCCCACGCCCACCCGGCGCCCAGCGACTCGCCCCCTCCGGCCATGGTGTCCGGCACAGAGACGGTGCACTACATCCACCTGCACAACGCCAGCCAGTCGGTGCTGGAGGCCCTGCGCACGCAGCGGCGCGAGGGCCTCTTCTGCGACGTGACGGTGCGCATCCACGACGCCTCGCTGCGCGCCCACGCCTGCGTGCTGGCCGCCGGCAGCCCCTTCTTCCAGGACAAGCTGCTGCTGGGCCACTCGGAGATCTCGGTGCCGCCGCTGGTGCCGGCCGAGACGGTCAAGCAGCTGGTGGACTTCATGTACAGCGGCTCGCTGGTGGTGCTGCAGTCGCAGGCCCTCTGCATCCTCACCGCCGCCAGCATCCTGCAGATCAAGACGGTCATCGACGAGTGCACCCAGATCATCTCCCAGCGGAAGGCGGCGGCGGGGGCGGCCAGCGCGGCGGCGGCTGCAGCTGCGGCCGTGGCGGCGGCGGCGGGGGGCGGGGGAGGCGGCGGGATGCACGGAGGGGTTCTCCCGAAGCAGGAGGAACGCGGTTTGGCCAAAGGGAGGGACGGCGGCGGCGGCGGGAGCTGCTCCGTTAGCGCCGGTGGCGGAGGAGGAGGAGGGTACGCCAACTTCTCCAGCTTCATGGCGGAGTGCGGGGCCAGCAACATGGGCGGCGGGCTGGGCGGCGCCGCCGTCAGCGTGGGCGACGGCGGCCCGGGCCCCATGGACCAGAGCGGCGCCGTCAGCCTGATGGCGCTGGGGGACATGGGCGCCGGCGCCATGTGCGGCGGCGGCGGCGACGGAATGGGCGCCGGCGCCATCCTCATGAAGCAGAGCCCCGGCTGCGCCCAGGACGTGCGCTACAAGCTCCGCGACCTGCTGGCCCAGACGGCCAACGGGGCCAGCACCAGCGGCGCCGGCGCCGGCAGCCTCCCGGCGGGCTGCAGCCCCCGCGTGGCCAGCGTGGACAGCATCGGCAGGGACGGCCTCCGCGGCAACCCGGCCGACCTCTCGGACGAGCTGGTGGGGATGGACCGCTACAGCGAGGAGGAGGACCTGGAGGGGAGGGAGCGAGGGAGAGACGGAGACAGAGACAGGGGAGCGAACCACAGCCGCAAGCAGAGGCAGCCGCTAAGACTCCAGGTAGGGGGATAAGGGGAAGAGTTGCTATGGTTACAGCTTTCAGGCATGCAGAGCTGCAACATTTTCCTTTTCTTTTTTTTTTTTTTTTTCTTTTTTTTGCAATGCTTTTCCCTCTTCTCACACTGCATTGGCGTATATATCGCTGAGATGTTTCTGCACTTTGCGCAATTGAATCCCTCGCCTTAACTTCAGCGGTAGCTGTTTGGTTGAGTATCTATGGACTTCTGCATCCTAACCGTACGTCGCTCCGGTTCCCGGAGCCCGTGGGAAGGGGCCGCGGGCGGCTCGACGTGCCGTTCCCGCCAGGGCTCCCTGTCGCAAACTTGACTTGACGCGGACCTTCTTCTCCTCAGGTGCTGGGAGGAGAGGGAGTGGTGGTCAAAGATGAAGGCGTGCAGGAGGCGGATGGGAACGTCTATTCCTTGGAGGATGGGAGGCGAGATCAAGAGCAGGAGGGCGCCCAGGAATCCATGGCAACCTTTGGCCAGGTATGTTAAATAAGAGGTTAGAGGCAGTTTCTTACACGACCGAGAAGAGGAATAGTTTGGAGAAATGTCACGTCAAGATATAGATTTAACGCTCACATTTATTCAGCCTTTTAATAATTCATCAGTGACTCTATATAGGACATGATATGCATGTTGACTACTGAGCTCTGTCATGATCCGTGGGGTTAGTGTTTAAACATCCCAAGTGTTCCGGGTTCTTTGTGTTCTGTTCTTTCTCTTTGCAGTTTAGTTTCTTCCTGTTTTATTTTGTTAGAGTTTTCCTCATGTCTTTAAGGCTGAGTTTTACTTCCTTGCCGTGCCTCACCGGGGATGCTTTGCCCATTTCCTTACCTGCTGCTTATTTTTGATTAGTTCTCTCCGTGTGTAATCTTCTGTTTTTAGTCGGTCGTTTCATGTAACGGTTGTTCATGTCCCCGATTAGCTCTCGCTGGTATTTGAGTACGTTTTTCAGTAGATTTTCTATTGTTTGTGATGAACCTTTAAAGATAATCTGCCAGTAACGATTCGCTCTCCTCCACCCTCCCCACGTCCGACAGAGGAAATATTAGCTTGAACAGTAATTCCCATCTACTGAAGGCTCTTGTTGTCTTGCGTTTGTGATGATCCTGATGGTCAGCAGTGCTGATGGAAATGGGGGGGTGGGGGTTGCTGCTGCCCGCAAAACGCTGCAGGCTGCACAAAAGCAGCTTTCAGTTTTTCTCAGAAGCTCTGGAGACGAAGCCTGGGATTGAATTATCTCCCCAGCATCTGTAGTTAAAACATTTAGCTTTGCATGTGGTCTT